CTTGGAGCGAGCCGACTATGGACTGAAACCTCTGTGAACTGTGAGTCAAAGAAACCTTTCTTCCTTTAACTTTGGGTATTTGGTATTTTGTCTCAACAATGAGAAAAATAACTAAGACACTCCTCAGGCAAATAAGACCTTGGGGCATTTGTCTTATCTAAAATTCACTTTACTTAACACCAGACTGAAACTGTTCTATTGAGATAGGAGATTAGGGTATGGCAAAGCTTGCTGGGAAAGTAGGTATGGCCTGTTCATTACAAAAATCCCAGTAAACATATGCAAAACAGTTTCCAAAACCACACTCATGGATTTCTCATGAGAACTCGAGTAGGTTTTGAATAGGATGGCCTAGACCTGACAGCCTGAGGAGTCGGCAATACACAAAGAGACAGTCACCATTAAGCCCTCACTAGCATGCCCCTTCACCACAGCCTGCCCTCATGCTGTAGGGTATGTTTATTTTTGTGCTTTTACTTGGCCCAAACTTGCTTTGCAGAGCTTCTTTCTTTTCCTACTTCTAATAACTGTAATAAAACTTTGCTACTGTTTGTGCTTGTGTTGACCAATTCTTTGCTCGGGACAGAAAGAACCTAGAAACCCCAGAAGGAGACTCCAAAACCCAGTAACATATTTGGTGAGCCACCCAGGAGAGCCAGAAAGGCCTTTTGGGTACAGTTTTTTCATTCTTTCTCTCTAAAATGCCACAAAGATTCCTCTTCTTCCTCCTCCTCCTCCTCCTCATCTTCCTCCTCCTCTTCTTCTCTTTCTTCCTCCTCCTCCTCTCCTTCTCCTTCTCCTTCTCCTTTTCCTGTCTGTCTCCCTTAAACTGGAGGACTCGGAAGATTCTTCTCATGGCACTCATGGGAATTGTTTCTTGTTTTTCTCACCATGTGGAAGGAAAGAGGGAAAGGACATGGCCTGTGTTTTTCCTAGCAGGTTATCTACTATTAAAATAATGCTTGGGCTCAATATGAAGTAGGAAATAGCAAGAGATAGGTATGGGATAGCAGTTTAAATTATGACACTATAGTAGACCCCTGAAATTCATAAGGGATACATTCCTAGAGCAACTGTAAATTGTGAAAGTTGGGAATTTCAGATATGGCCAGAAAACACCTATAAATGTCTATTGTTAAATAGTTTAAACCCTAAATATACTATGTTGCCCACGTTTATGTAATTTAATTTAATAAAATACTGTATTATTAAAGCATTCAAAGGTGCAGGGCATTTTGCTGCATCTTAGGGATCTTAGGGCTTTAAGAACAAAAGTGAGAGCACTGGAGATGGTACACATGGTACAGCAATCTCTAATCTCTTATGATCTGGAATGCTGGTGAATCTGCCCAAGTTGGATTATACAGTAGCAGCCAATCAGCAGCAAGGAAAACTGAATAACGCTCTTGGATTGGCTGCTTGCAAACTTCTCACCAAAAAAAAAAAAAAACAATTTTGAGGATATTCTTGGTTTCCTCAAAATTGCAGAGGTTTCCATAAACAATTATTTGGTAGAGTCTAAGGAAAAATCCTCAACAACTGAGAGTGTGAACTCTAAACTGCAACTCACGGGGATATACTGTATTTTTCAGTTATACTGCTTCTGCTGAAAACATATAAAATGGAGTGTAATCCTTGAAGGTCAGGCATTTGTGGCCCTTTGTCTCAGGAAAAGCCCAGAAACCACGGTATTTAGAGTGGTCCCAAAGAAGAAAGAGATGTCTTTGATGATCCTGTCCTCAGATCCCCATCTATCTCTCAGGGGGATATGGGTCTCTTGCATCTGTTTAATAAAAAAAAACTTCAGATGGGACCCCAGACACCAAAGACCCAACTGCTGGACGTGGCCTTTTCTCTGTTCAGCAACTGGGATCTGGAGAAAGGTCAAAAGAGAATTAGAGCTAGAATTAGAGCTGTTGCAGTGGGCAATGCTTCAAACTCAACCAACCTGTCTAAGAGAAAATCCAAGGATGATCAAGTGCAAGAAATCTGGACATTGGACAGGAGTGTGCACCAAGCCACTGCCTGGGCCTTCTTCTGAATGTGAGGGAGTCAATATACCTGACTCATGGCACTGAAGGGCTGACTGTCCCTCGTCCCAGAGAGGGGCTACACCAGCCAAAACCCCCATTTCCTGCTCTAAAGAGGCCCAAGGAAACCTACAATGGCCCTGTCCACCAATATTACCATCTCCTATGGGGAAGCCTGCATAATGCTGGATCTCATAGGCCCGGAAGTTAGCCACTCCTGTGAACAAATGATTTCTCACACCTATGAAGCCGGCAGGACATCAGCGATCTGCCTCTCCAAGATCCTGATATTCCTGATAACCTCTGGGAGACCTGAAGCTCCTCTTCAGAAAGCAAGACACCAGCACTGCTTCAGGTGCAGATAAGTAAGAGACCCTAATGACTCTAATTCACCATAGCCTAACTGGGCACCTGTTATCGAGGCTTCCATTTGTAATTAGATCCATAACATGGGTAATCTTGCTGAGGCTATGGCTCTCGGGCTCCTGATAATTTATCTAATTTCCCTCTTTGCCATATTTTGTCCCCCACAAGAAGTATGGATATGTGACTAGATCCTAATATTTGGGGTCTACATCCCCAAAATAATAGTAAAGTCACTTTTTTTTTTTTTTTTTTTTTGAGACAGGGTCTCACTATGTAGTTGAGACTGACCTGGAACTCAATATGTAGTCCGGCTGGCCTTGAACTCACAGTGATGCTCCCTGCCTCAGCCTCCCAAATGCTGGGATTACAGGCGTGGGCCACCACACCTGGCCATAAAGTCACTTTCTTTCTCCCTTTGAACAGACAGCTCAGTAGTTACTCTTTTCTCATTGTCTCTTGACACATTTTTGTTTCTCCAACCCAGCCAGTGAGCCACAATACCCCAAGGTAGTTGGACAGCACAGACTCCCCAGTAGGTAAGGCCTACAACCTCATCTAGGTGGAAGAACCTATATAGGACAAGAGATTTCCACTCCCTCAGCACCCCATAAAGAATTACGGGGATATGTGTCCATTTTAGTTTCTTTTCTCTTGTTTCTGAGGCAAAATACCCAAACCCCAAAGTTAAAGAAGGAAAAGTTTATTTGGCTTACAGTCCATAATAGGCTGGCTCCAAGGCAGAGTGGTTTGGCAGAAGAGAAATGGCTTATGGTGGCCAGAAGGTAGCAAAGCAACAAGGAAACCTTAAAAGTGTCTTTCTGCCCCTTTTATCTTATCCAGACTACCAGGATTTGGGTGGTATCAAACCAATCAGTGGACTGATATAGTAATCACGCACCGTTAATCTCAGCATCACACACTCTGGATTTAGCTGCTTCTGAAAAGCCCCACCTAAGACTCATGAGGCTTAGGGGCCATTGAGTTACAACCATAAGTGTCTCTCAGGGGGAAATGACACAGGAGGCCAGGGTGTGGCAAAACTGGCTGGGGAAGTAGGTGCGTCCTGTTAATGACAAAATCCCAGGACACATGTGCACAGCAGTGCCCAAAGTCCTGCATGTGGACTTCTCATGGCCTAGACCTGATGGCAGCCTGAGGACTGGCTGATATAAAAAGAACAGACAACACTGAGCTTTTGCCAGTGTGTTTCCTCTTGCATGGTAGCCCACCCTCAGGCTGGAGGGTGTATTTTTCCTCCTTTTACTTGGCCCAAACTCACTCTGCAAAGCTTGCTTATTTTCCTACTTTGCTACTGTTTGCACTTGACCAATTCTTTGCTCAGGACAGAAAGAACCTAGAAACCACCTCCAGGAGACTTCAGCATCCCAAAACCTAATAGAGCCTTAGTACTTCCACCACCACCCACAGAAGCTTCAGATCATAGAGTTCTGCTGTATTAATGTGAAGAAGAAGGAAAAAAAAAAAAAAAAAAAAAAAAAAAAAAAAAAAAGGTAACTAACTTTCTGCTATGATTTAGCCAGATAGTGTTAGGAACAAATACCTGCCCTTTGTTAGTTCCGGACATTGTGACGTATTGTGTGTGTCGGGAGAGAGGTATAAAGTGATATGAAATGATAAAGATTATCTAATTGTTTCTTCTCTAGCCTTCCCAAGTTTGGCCCAGAGGTATTTTTTCTTGAAACACAGAGCAGGGTCACTACTGAAAAGGGAGTCTGTGGACCTGGAAAGAGGTAGTCATCTGGGGACACAGGCCTCCCCTCCCCCAGGCAGTGTAGATGGTCCGCAAAAGGATGTAGCAAGACCACAGAAAGAGCTGTCCTCTCTCTTGTCAAAGACTGGTGAAGCCAATGCCAGAGGAGAGGTCAGCCAGACTTCATAGAGATCTCCGCGGCACTAGGGGAAACCGAAATGAGGGCATGTCCATCCATCCGCTAGAGCACTGTACCAGACTTTGGCCAAAGCCCGCTAGACCAGCCACAAAACACACCCACCCAAGCATCGGCCATAAATACCCACAGGGCAAGCACACCACACCAGAAAAGGGACAAGAGCACAGGAGGCAGGAAGCTGTGCCTGAGGACATCACTTCTCTCAAACACCAGGACATTGCACAAGCCACAAACCTTCCCTTCCCCCACACCCTGGCAAGCAGAGGAAGGGTTTGGGAGCCTAAACATTGTTAGTCAACAGAGGCAGGACAGTGCATAAACACTGGACTGGACTAATTTTTTTTTAGGAAAGGGGGTGCTGGAGATTGAATCCAGGGCCTTGTGTGTGCTAATCACATGCTTTATTACTGAGCAACACCCCCAGCCAGGGCTATATTTTAAACCAGTTGTTTAGTTCATGTTATTCCCCCTTCTAACTAAAAATTAAAGGCTTGGGAGGGAAGCCAGGACAGTTCAGAGCAAGCAAAGTTCCTTCTTCTGCACTTCCAAGTTGTGATGTAGCTACAATTTTGAAATTCCACCACACATTCTTTCTTTGGTTTCATTCAAAAAAAAAAAAAAAGCATTCTAAGCGCAAAATGTCATTGTTGACTGGCAGAACTTCCAGAGGAATGAATTCTTTGAGAGAGTCAGAGGAAAGGAGACACAGAGAAGAAAGGGAGATGGCTACAGCAAGGGGTTTTGTCCACTTCCTTCAAGGATTCCTTGGAACCTAGTAGGTGGAGCGTAGCAAATGAACATTTCAGCTTCTGTCTTATAGCAGACATTGAAAGGCATGATTCTGTTTAATTCTCTCTACGGCCTTTGATGTTGGGATTATCATCACTATTTCATAGATAAAGAAATTAATTCAAACAGAATAACTTCTCCATTCCCAAGCAGGAGATTCGACCGTGGCGGAGCTGGAGGACAGGGCCTGCGCTGGTAATGACAAGGTTCCAGGACGTAAGAGCTGAACCGTTCCGAAGCCCCGCCTATGGACCAGCCAATCGGAAAGGGCTGTCTTCAGTCCGGGTTGGGCCGGAGCAAGTTTCCGGTAGGATGGTGTAGGGTCAGCCTGAGGAGTGGGAGGGACAAGACAGCAGTTGCCTCTGAGCCCTGGGCTGCTGTGGTCTCTCTTTCACAACAGTCTGCTCTCACACTGTACACACAGTGATAGCGAACCTTTTGGTAACGAGTCCCCGAACTGCAACCGCAAACCCACTTATTTATCATGAAGGGCCTACACTGCAGTCAAACCTGAATTAAGCTAAAGTTTTAGTTTAGAAAAACTCACACCTTAACATCTTCTGTCTTAAAATAAGAACAAATCACACTGGTGCCACAGGTTCACCACCACCGCTCTAGAGTATACTTTCCTACTTTTACTTGGTTCCACTTTGCTCTGTAGAGCGTTTCTTTTCCTACCTGTAGAAATGTAAAAGCTCACTGTTGTTTGAGTTTGTTTTGTCCAATTCTTTGTTCAAGACAAGAAGAATCTAGAAATCATCTCTGGAAGGAGACTTCAGGACTCCTAAATAGGGTAACAGTCTAACACACCTATTAAGTGCAAAGCAGAAATAAGATTTACCATAGGCCAAACTGGTTACTGTGATTTCTCAATGTACTTCTTTTTGGGAAAGAAAAATTTTTGTACAGAAAATATTCCAGTGATATTTCTGCTGTCTAAATTACATAAGAAAGTTGTTTGTTTGTTTTTTTTTGTAATAGGAGGAATTGAATCCAGAGCCTTCCCACTGAGCTACATCCCCAGCAGTCCTCCTGCCTCAGCCTCTCAAGTAGCTGTGATTACAGGAGTGTACCACATGCAGCCTATGGTACATAGCAAGTTTAAAGCCAGTGATCCTGCCTCAAAAAAAAAAAAGAAGAAATATCTTGATTTTTTTCCTATGGTGACCAGATTTCAATTGCAAAATCAATTCTTCCTGTTGTTATCACACCGTGAAATTTACAGATATGGTGGCAATTACTGTATCTATGTTGAAATGAAGTAGTTATCTGTAGAAAGAAATCACAGGAAAGTAGGAGCTAGATTAGAAGATGGAAACTATGTAGGAAATAAAAATGAAATTCAAGAAAAAAGGGAAATTTTTAAAAAGGGAAATAACAACCCTGATTAGTACTTTAGCTGAAATAAGCATTTTTAATGTTGAAAGAATCCTTGAGCTTTGTGTAGTCAATTTTTTTTTTAAATCCAAATTGCATAAAAATAAGTCCCTTCTTGGGTTTCCAGTGATGTTACAAACCACAGGAGGCCCCACCATCTATTTAAATTATAGCCTTTTTCCTTGCCCTCTCTGGGTTGTTTGGTCAAAGACCATCATCTACATTAACATCTACCATGCCCTTCTGCTTTGATCTCTGGTTCCCTCTAAATTCAGCAGACATTCACCCTGCTGCAGAAGCAAAGTCATTGTCATTTCAAAGACTTGCATTCCACTTGTCCCAGAAATAAAAATCAGCAAGGGCCAACACCCAAGGGTCCAAAACAAATCTAGCTAAATCTAAAAGCAATGAAGGTGGAGGCATAAGATGGAAATACAACCCAAAAGACAAACGGTTCGCTTCTGATCATTGATCTTGCAAACGTAACTATGATTTTGAAATAGCACAAGGAAAAGAGAAATGATTAGGTGTCAGGAGCAAGTCACTCATCTGTAAAATGAGACAGTTGGATATGTTAATCTTCTAAGGTCCCTTCCAACCTGACAAATCTATGGTCATAAGCCTGAGGAAATTTTCCTGGCTTCACTGTGCAATGGAAAAGCGAAGTCCAGCTTCTATGGTCACCGTGGTAGTGTGGCTCAGAGCAAGTTATTTAACCTCATTAGCCTCTGATTCTTTATTCTCAGCAGTCAGAAAGGAACACATACTTCGTAGGAGTGTGGTATATAGACAGTTGAAAAATAGGCAAGTCAGACCTGGTAATATATTTTTTTAAGCTTTAACTTTTTAAAGGAATTTTATTTTTCAGTATTGGGAATTGAACCCAGGGCCTCTGCCTTGATCTATCTTCCCAGCCCCTTTTTACTTTTTATTTTTGAGGCAGGGTCTCACTGAGTTACCCAAGTTGGGTTCAGACTTGTGATCTTCCTGCCTTAGCCTCCCAGACCACCGGGATCACAGACATGCACCACCATGCCCAGTTTTTAAAGGAAAATTCATAAAGGGAGATGAAGGTGGGGGTCAGCATTGCAAACATGCCTGACAGGTAGCATACTATGCGCCTGTCGGGCTTTTCCATTTTGTTACTACACTGTACAACAGGGCACCTTTTAGAATGGTTGAGATATACTTGCTTATGTGTCCGTTACCACCAGAAGGTAGAAATTCAAGGGCTAGCATTATTTCATGCACATGTGTGTTAGCTTCTGCTGATAAGATCGGAGAGTCCGCCAAGAGGTCTCCCCTCACCTGTCCCATGATGCACTCCCGTAACTCCAGACACTGTGGAGACCAAAGCAGGGTGATCACAAATTTGAAGATAGCCTGTCTCAATATAAAATACAAAAAATGACTAGAGTTGTGGTTTAGTAGCAGAGCACCTCCCTAACAAGCACAAGGCTCTGGGTTGGAGGTAGGATAGAAGAAATAAAGATAGGTGCAAAAGATGAAGAAAATTGTTATTTTAAAAATGTATTCTTAAGAAAACTGCCACTTCAGGACACAATCAGTTACCCAAAATTACAATGCCCTTTTTTTCCCTTCCAGGAACCTCAGCTCCAAAATTCTCAATTCTCAAGGGTCTTAAAGATACAGTAAACCTGTACATTGGGTCTGTGCTTTCTACCTCCAGATGAAGCCTACAGCTCTTAGCTACTGTACATTCAAAAGTTCCACAGACTTCTGCCTTTAAGGAAGCAGCACTGTTAATTGGGCACTGTATCTCTAAACTTCAAACACATGCAAATGCTTTGGTTCTGACTTAGCCCACTAAGGGTAGCCTGACAGACAATGGGAACACACATCCTAGGTCACCTGTCTTGAGCACACCCTGCAAAACAGTGCATAGCCTCTCCTCTCTGCTGAACTCTCTCTCTCTCTTTCAGTCTGTATAGCTTTGATTTTGCCTAATAAATCTACTTATGCCTCTCACTGACTCATCCTAAAATGCTTGTCTGTAATCTATCTACTACCTACCCCATGGGTCAGGTGAGTTGTTCCCATCCTCTTTTTTGGCAGGACCTCCTCTGTCCCCAGTCCAGTGACAGGTTAAATCCTTAGTGACAGGAAAAAAAAAAAAAGGCAGAGAGAGAGATCTCCCCAACCTATAATCCTGAATCTGGAACCTGAGCTAGCCTGTTCTTCCACTCCGCCATGCCTGTCACACCCCAAGGACACCAGAAGGAAACTCCTCCCATGTGGGACTGAGTTAGTACCTGGGGTTGACTCCCAGGTAAGTAGCTCAGATCTGAGAACTCATTTGCTTGAATTTATATCAAGTGTCAAAATAGGAGCCCTAAGATCATATGTTACTACTATTATGTTGTATTTGGCCTATATACAATTTTGCTTTTTTAATTAGAGAGCGGGGCATATTTTTGAGACAAGATTTGATTAAATTGCCCAAGCTAGTTTCAAACTTGTAATCCTCCTACCTCAGTTTACCAAGCAGCTGATATTACAGGCACATGCGATCACACCTAGCAGTGGTACATATTTTGATCTTAGCAAAGCTAAAGAGAATTCCCATAACCCATAACTTGGCTCATTTCAGTAAAACTACTTTTATGCCTCCACACTGTTGCTTCGCAATACATAAAGGTTCACAGACTGAGTGCTCGCTGGTCCCTGCATTGGGTCCTACTTGTGGGAAAGGCTTGACGTGCTCACACGTATGCTTTTATATAAGTTCACCCCATTGAAGACCTCATGCTTTGTTAGCCTTTTCTGAGCCTTGACAGAGTCTCTTCATTCTCTCACAAGTTAAGTGAAAAGTGAGACTCTGCCCTGGACTGTTGATGATTCTTGGTGAGAGCCATGAATTGTGCACAGTGTTAACCTAGGAGGTAGCCACACCTCCTAGGGCTTCCCTGCCAGTTCAAGAATAAGGGAAACAAAGCCACACCCTCAATTTGTGCTCTACCTTTTGCTTACTAGATATAGATAGATAGATAGATAGATAATAAATAAATGGAATTGGGGAAAGAGGAACGACTCTTGTCAACTTTATTTGCTTAGCTTGGATTTTAAAGTCTCTGGAATAAGAATGAATGCTAAGGATTTCCTACAAGTTACAGAAAAATTCATGGAGTGAGATATAAGGAATGTAAATAGGCCATAACACCAAGAAGCTATAGTAATCCCTGATGTGTAAAACTTTTGTGCAGAATACAAAGTCCTCTTTTTCCTCTGGACAGATTTGAATGAAAGTAAGGCTGAAATACAAGCACTTTTAATAATAATAAAATGTCCCTATTACTTTGTTCCAAGCAGGAGTTTCTTGCCAACCGTTGCCAGCGCATTCTTAATTGATAATGAAATGCAAAGCCTAATGTAAACTCACTACACAGAAGTTGGACACCCGATTTCATTATGAGGCAGAATTCTGAAACCACAAGCAATATTGGGGACAGTGCCAGAACCTGGTCTCAACTTGACTACAGACAGCCTGCAAACTGCCTTCACCGGGGAACAAATCTTAACACTTGATCATAATATGGTTTTGTTAAAGTGAAATTCATCTCGTGTGCTTTTTTCCTTCACTGTCTATTTAAATCCTCTAAATTCCTTGTGTGTTTGTGGTATGAATGGTCAAAAATGATGTGGAAAGAATTGTTTCCTATAACAGACACTGGTCATTAGAGAATCATGATAATCACGTATGCCTCCTCCCTCTTAGGTGAGGTTTTGCTGTGTAACTCAGGCTGGCCTCAAACTCAAGATCTTCCTCTCTCCACCACCCACGTGCTGGTGCTACCGGCCAGCACATGTACGGCTTTCCAAAAGCCAACTATCATTTCTCTCTCTCTTCCTCCCTTCCTCACTCCCTCTTTCCACCATGTTCTGATAGAACAGAAGGCCATTTCCAGATACAGGTACTTTGATGTTCGACTCCCCAGGTTCCAGAACTGTGAGTCAATAAATGTCACCTATCCGAAGATCCAAAAGGCAGCTGGACATGGAGGCACATCCCTGTAATCTCAGCTACCTAGGAAGGCTGAGGCAGAAGAAATGCAAGTTGAGCAATTTAATGAGACCCTGTCTCAAAATGAAAGAAAACAAGTAGGGGATTTAGCTCAGTTGTTCTGCCACCTGCCTTGCAAGTGCAAGGACCCGAATTTGATCCCTGTACCAAATAAATAAATAAACAAACAAACAAACAAATAAATCCAGCATGTAACTCAGTGGAAGAATAACTCTGGGTTCAGTCACCAGTACTGCCAAACACAAAGAGAAAATTACTGTCCACTCCTTAAGTTAAAAATATTTTAGACTACAGAAGAAAAATAAAATGAGTGAAATCTGAAAAATACTTTAGGTTTTCAAACGATGTTGAACACTGCATTGAATTAATACATTTATTCTAAATTCTCACTTTAAGGAATAAATAGTAATTCATTCCATTTTTGAGAGGGCAAGCAAAAGACTGAGAAATTTTTGATTGTACAGTGGAAAATCTGATGTGTATGTAGGTGTGCAAAATCCTACTAATGTGCTAGTAGTTAGCTGTTCTGAATATTTAAGGTCATAAGGCACCAATTGTCTGTATATATTCTACTGTCTTCATTAGCTTTTGATGTAGGCTTCATGAGAATGCCCAACATAGGCCTTGTCTTAGCTACTTTTCTTGCTGAGACAAAATATCCAACACCCAAAGTTAGAGGAAAAAAGGTTCATTGTAGCTCAGTTTGTAGAGGCTTCTGTTCATAGTTGGCTGACTCCAAGGCAGGGTGGCATGGCAGAGGGGCATCACAGAGGAGGAGCAGCTCATGGCAGGCAGAAGCCAGCAAGCAGCGAAGTGATGAAGAAGAAAGTGACAAGCAACAATAAGAGCTCTCTTTCTGTCGGTCCCTTATATTCCATCTAGGCTTCCCCCACCTCTGGGGGTGTAGCACTCACACCCAGGGTGGAGCATCCTTAATCCACATGTGAGTCCATCCCAGCATTACATTTTTAATCCCAGTGTCACATACCCTAGATCCAGCCACCTCTGAAAAACCCCACCACATGAGACTCTGGGGCGACATCTAGGTACAAGCCATGACAGGCTTTAAAAAGAAATAAATGTAATAAAAGCCTGAATAAGTATAGAAAGGAAAAATCCTAGAAATCAAAGTCATCTCCCCATCTATAGTCCACAGATGCCTTGGTGCAGCTCTTGTCTCTACAGAACCCTTGAAGGACAGAACCCTTGAAGGTGCAGCCCTCCCTTCCAGATATTTAAATTATTAAAACACATTTCAAATTTTGCAAATCAAGCCTAAAATGTTGTCATAAATCACAGCATAAAACAGAGTAAGCCTAATTTTTAAAAAATTAATAATATGAATGTATCAAGCAACATAGTACACAAAACCATTTTTCAAACTATGTATTATACAGGCTCTCTTGCTCTTTAAATGAGGATATCATTTTGGTGTCTTCTAAGCCTCTTATAAATGTTCAACTATTAAGGTGCTAACATAAAAATTAAGCTGGGAAAAAATGTTGATATAAAATATTTAGCTAATTAAGGCAGTCTTTGTCCAGATCGAATGATCTATGTATTCATAGATACTCTTAATTCGGTTTGCACGTGAAAATGGGAATATGAAAATCTATGTTTTTCTAAAAGCTCCCTTGACTGGCATCAGACAAGGAAGAGAAACCAAAAACTATTTCTGCAGGTGGCCACACAAAGCCCGCTGAAGCAGAACAGCATGTGAGCGCTAACCACTATTTCTGGTCCTGCAGAAGTTCTGCAGAGGTGTGGGGAGAGAACAATCTCTAGGCATATGACAGCTGATGTCTTTACAAGTCAGTTAGTACCAGGCTTCTCTTATTTTAGAACAGAAATTTATTGGTGACTTACTTTTGTTATTTTCTGAAGTGTCTAGACAGGAGCAAAAGAAACTCCGAAATTAGACAGAAATATGCACTCCTTTATAAAAAGAAAACAATAAAGCCACTCTTCCACTAGCAAGGAGACCTTATGCCCTGATGAGGGGTAGATCTGCTTCTGGGGAGCAGGCTTCTGTATTATTGCAATTGTGTGTGTGTGTGTGTGTGTGTGTTGGGGGGCATGGAACCCCCTGGGGTTTAAGCCTGGGGCCATTGCATTTAGCTATGTACCCAGCCCTTTAAAAAAAATTTTTTTTTTCAGAAAGGATATCATCAAGTCAGTAAGTTAACCCAGGTGGACTCAAACTTCTGATCCTCCTGCCTCAACCTCACAGAGTGCTGGGATTATAGGCATGCACCTCTATCTCTAGTTATCAGCATTTTTAAAAGCGCTTCCCATAAAAATGGTAAATGAATGTGAGCCAGCCAACTTGTGCTCAAGAGGGTTGCTGAGTAAGACTGGTGTGCAGAATTCCTGGGGTGCACAGGGACTTAGCTTCAGTTCCCTGGTATCAAGTAATCAATGAACACATAGTATGTGAAAGACCTACGTTGGCTCCTTTCTGAAATCTTCTATGATTTGCAGTGGCTTAGTTAGATGAGTTGTCTCACAATAATATTGATAATTAAAAGAGTTCACTACGTTTCCTCTTAAATTATGCATTTTTTTATCTCCTTTCTGCTTTAAATTCAAATTGAATAAGAATCCCATCTAAACCAGGCTTGGTGGCCCATACCCATAATCCTGGTACTCTTGGAAGCTGATACAGGTGGATTGGCTCAGTTTAAGCCCAAACCTGGGCAATTTAGTGGTTCAGTGAGACCCTGTCTCTCAAAATAAAAACATGGAAAAAGGGCTGGATATATAGCTCAAAGTGAAAGCTCTAAGTTCAGACTCCAGTTTCACCAAAAAAAGAAAAAACAAAGGTACCACCTAGGGCTTATTCAAATGTAGACCTAAAAAAAAAAAAAAGCAAATGAGACTTCATTTACACATTATAACTCAAGCGGCCCCACTCAGCAGAGTTCACACTATTGCTCTAGAAGGAAAAGCACAACGAAGTTAAGACAGAAACTGAAAAGAATGTTGAATACTTTAATTTTATAGTTGCTTCCTTTTTCACTCAGAACGTAGAACAATCTGAAAAATAGAATACAAATTCTGATGTTTACAACAATATCTAATAACACAAATAATTCTTGTTCCAAATATGAATTAATTGCTCATTATTTAATTTTGTTACTTAGAGATCTTCAATAAAACTAGAAGATAAAAAGCTGGCAACATTCATCACACTTGTTAAAATACCGCAATTATTGTCACACTGCCGAAGAATGCATTGTATTTGGGGAAGTGTAGGGCCGTGAACAAACTCATGAAAAAGAAAAAAGAACTATTTCTTACCATGCTGGAATCCCTGGAGCCCAAAGGGAAGGGGCCATTGCAGCACCGGACGAGGAGGAAGCGTAAATCCTAGGAGCTCTATAAATCCGCTGTTGCTCCATTGTGTGCCCTTGCAGGCGCTCCCGCTGAGGGGATGGATGCAGGAGTGGATACACGAAGTGAGAGCAGGAAGCATGAGCCTCACCAAGCTTTCTCTGTCTTGTCTGGTTCCTTCTTCCCTATTATCAACAAAACAGCAGAAAAGAAAAAGCAGCAGCAGGAATAGAGCTGTAGGCAGACAGATAAGCAATTTAACACCGTCCCCTGCCCTTGTCGGCCCAGGTAGCGTTGCCCCTTCGGTCTTATTCCCATTCTTGCTTCACATCTAACCGGCTGTGCAAGGACCAGTGTCACAACCCCTGCCCAGCTACACCTGGAGCCCACTGAAGGAAGGAACCCTTGTCAGGGCGGCGAGTAGGCAAACCACATGCACAGCATCAAAGTTTTAAAACCCTCAAAAGCATAAGCCTCTTTCCCTTGACTTTGTGCGTCTGCCCATTACTTCTAACAATGCAGTGCTCACACCCATTGCAAGTGTTATTATCTGGCTGAATGCCTTTCATAGGTTTGGTTATATGGTTTTTGGCAAGAAATGATTTGGCACACTCCAGTTGTTTGTTTCCAATACGAATGTGCTTCTATATCTTTGCCAGGTTATGAAAATCCATTCTTAGGTGGGCATGGTAGTACATGTGTGTAATTCCATTACTGTGGGAGGCTGAAGCAGTAGGGTTAGAAGTGTTACTTAGCTCAACCCAGGAAACTTACTTAGTGAGATCCTGTCTCAAAGTTTAAAATAGCACTTTAAAAAAAGTTGGACATGTAACACAGTATGAAGGTCCCCCATTCAATCCCAGTACTGAAAAAAAAATGCATTTTTCATAAGGTGATTTACGACCCTCCATATAGTTCTGAGAGTGAAATCTGAATGTCAAAGAAACTTTTATTATGACAGTTTCATTACATTTCTAGACTCTTCCAAGAAAGAAATTCTTCAGGGGTTACAAATTTCAATATTAAGCCAAATTCTCATCCTATACAAGCATGAGTATCACCAGGTCATGATTATTTAGCATTTTAATGTATTGGTTCTGGGGCATGGGGTAATTCTGAAAGTGCATGTGTTCCTTCTATGAAACA